GCAATGGAGTGAGACTCTGTCTCAAAAAAAAAAAAAAGAAATATAATACAAGAAAAATGCAATAAAAATTCAAATAAGGTACTGTATATAGTTACTACTTTAACTCTTGGAAGGGATGTATGGTAGTAAAACAGCTCTTCTATCTTTGGCTCTAACTGGAACTGAACCATTCTTTACCCAGAAAGAAAGTAAGAAGAAGACTGGCTTGTCTATTAAATATAATGTTTTTGCATTATATCAATGGGAAGTTTGGCAGGAAAAAAATGTCTTGAAAAAAAACAAGGTTTCCAACTTCCCTCCTAAATTACTCATCTCATATATGGTATTTGGGGAACATAATTGAGCAGAATTTCTTTAAACTAAAACGTGTTTTATCCAAGGGAAATTCTCACTAATGTCTCTTCCTTCCTCTCAGACCCTTTCAACAAATCCAACAAGAATATTCTCATTGCTGGGATAGAACTAGAGACTAATATCCGCATGAACTGGCTCTTCCTCAGTCAGTCACATTACTCAGTGAGTTCCATTTGTGTTAAAATAACACCTTGTAAGTCATGTGGAAAGAAACTGCAGACTGAACAAACATGAGCAGTTTTACTAGTGAAGATCAACATGGGAAAGTTAGCGAGTCTTTGTTATCCTTATCCTTTATCAATAAATAAACATGAGTTCTTGATACTCTTTTTCACTAACTGTGGAGTCCCTTATTTGGACCATACTCTAGTTTCACGTTAAGGTACAAAATTCAGTGCAGGATTAGAGGATCAGAGCATGGCGTAATGATATTCATACTAAAGATGGAAGGCCAATTAGTAGTAGCTCCAGGGGTTCTTGCTGTCCCCCTGCCCAATTTCTCTGCAGTTCCTTCGTTTTGCTATAACCTTAGGAGATTATAGTTCTTAGACTTACAGTAAGAAGAAATCAAGATGGACCACTAGAGAATTGTAGTAATCTATTTTTAAATTGATATTGTACCTTTAACTTTAATATACCTTTTTAAATAAAAGTAGATTATGTTTTAAGATTGCAGGTTCACAATTTGAGAAGTAAGATTAAACATCTTTAGAAAGACAGTTTTTAATATAAAGGTAGAGAATTTAGGAAAGACAGGTAAACAAAATGAAGAAAATAAATTAATTACCTGTGAGCTCACCAGTCTCTTTAGATGTGCATCTATATATATGTCACATATATCTGTTTTATCTATGTGTTTATGTATGTTTAATTAAGTTAAGATCCATATTGTTTTTGAACTTATTTTTGCTATTCATGATTTTGCAGACATTTTCCATGTCATTATACATTCTTGTACAGCATTTTAAATGGCTGCATATTATTGCATTATAGCACTACTTTCAAAAAACAAATCGCGTTATTACTGAATAAGGTTTAAGTGTAAGCTTTAGATCAGGTAGCTGGGAGTTTAAATCCCAACTCCACCACTAAGTTGTTCTATGACCTTGGAATGTTACTTAGTCTCTCTGAATTTCTGTTTCTTCATCTAAAAATGAAATAATAGTGCTTAAATCATAAGATTGGGTCAAAGGGTATGCAGAATCCAAGGCTTCTGACACAAATTGCTCTCAGAAAGGATGACATCTTTAGCAGTATGCAAAAGTGATCGTTTCCCTGCACTCTCACCAATACTGGTTTTGTCCAGGTTGACAATGCACTACCTCATCCTTTTACTTTTTTTTTTTTTTAATAAATCAAACTACCTCCATTACTGCAATTAGAATTTCTGTTGTATTAATATTTTAATTAAGAATATATAGGATGTGTTTTCATACTCAAAAATTAGAAAAAGTCTTGATTTTTAAAATTTCTATTTTAAAAATATTTATCCATTATAACTTTGTAATGTACAACAAAAGTTTACTGCTTACTGCTAATTTTTAGAAGATATTAGATTATACTTTGCTGCCTCAATATCTTTTCTAATCATGTATTGTAATAAATTGCTGCTCTGAAAACCTGACTATATAACTTTAAGGGAAATAGGAATAACCTGTGTAGGAATAACCTACTTGGTAACCAAGTCTGTTCTGCTTGGTCATACTCTCTATGCTGCCATAAGTCAAGTGGTTTACACACTAAAGAAAAGCTGTGTCATGGGAGGGAAAATAATACCCATTGGAGAGATTAATATACAAGAGAGTTTAGAGGAAGCATGAGTCAGAAGTTGAATCGTCTGCTACCTAGAAGAGCCTCAAACACACTAGATAAGGCTTTCACGAGAGAAATTTTAAAACTAAAATAAAGTTTTCAAAATTAACTTCTGTTTTATTTCAAAATCTTTGTAAAACAGTATTCTTGCCATGATAACAACATGGTAGTACCATAGAAGAAAGGTAGACTTATTTAAAATATTTGGCAGAGGGTAAAGAGAGAACTATTCCTAAATTAGCCATTTAAGATTAGAAGACAATAGCTGAGCTAACCAACCAAACAGAAATATTATCTCAGTTTCTGTTGTCATTTTCAATAGATAAACTCATGCTATAGAGGCATTCCAGAATGATATGAAGGTGAAAATATTTGATATAGTCCATAA